AACCTCCTTTTCTTCCAGTTGTCTGGAGATGGCATCCAGCACAATCTGTTCCATCACCTTTCCAGGGACAACCTTTTATCTAAAAAGAAATGCAGTAAGTTTTTGAGCAATGTCTAACAACAGCAGTGAACTACAGTCACATCAAAGCTGAAGTTCCAGAAGGTAGAGTTAAACATAATTGACTTCACTCCTTTTCTGTCCATATCTGAGATGATCAGTGCAATTATGAAGAAATGTATCTCCATGGGAATGTCTTGCTTTTCTGCAAAGTGGAATGTTCTGTATGTTAAATGGCTCTGCGCAAGTACAGTAATGACCTGGCTTTAAACAGGTAGATGGACTAGGGACATCTCAAGAATTACTCTATTACAGTAGAAAGAAAGAACAAGAAACACTTCACTATTTAAAAACAAAGACAGCTGCAGTGTAGACAGATACGACTGTGCGCCCTTTGGAAGATTAAATAAGTTGTCAAGAACATTTGAAAACTCAAAATGAGTTTGCAAACCCAAAACTGTTTAATAGCAAACAAGTTACACACTCATGAAATTTTTGCAACAAATGTCACAATGTGTCATTCTTCATGATGAGCAGTCAGCCACCTCTGTCAATAGAGCAGAATAATCAGTTTCAACCAAACATCATCAAGTGATTCCCACCTGAAGTCTAATTTTGACTCCCAACGTTGCCTTGTTAGGAAAAACATTACTACCATTTTAGGTTTTCTCCTATATTCTAACATTTAACGTTGCTTAGAGGACAGCTCTTAGAGGCATAATAGAGGCATAAGTTAGCCATGTTGCCTAGTCACAGAATAATATTTTACCTGTTCCACACAGGCTAGAAATCACACTGTTAGAAGAGGTATTACCTCAACTCTGGAGAACATGAAAAGTTTTAACTGATGCCACTAACATGCGAGTACATTTGCTGCTAATTGTTTATGCTGCAACATCCATCCCAGAGGGTATTTCACGGAATGCACTTACACAGAAAGCAAAGAGTTCCAATCAAACTAGTCATTTAGTAAACTAAAGAGCGTCATCTTTGTTCTGTGCACCGCCATCTTCCAAAACCACCACAGAATTCTCTATGTTACCCTCCTGTAATTTATTTTGGATACTCATAAACTGGAAACAGTATCAGTATGCAATATCTAAATAAGGTGGTTGTTCTATGAATACACATACACTGCAGAACTTGAAATCAAAACATTTGACATTTAGTTTCAAAACAGATACTTGAAAAGAAACTGAAAAACCATGGATCTAATATTTTGCATCATGCTAGAATGCAAACCCAAAACTAATCACCTATTTCACGATCAACTTCTTTGAATATTCACAAATGCCTCTCATATTACACTAAAATGTGAAATTTTAAATAAACGTATATATTTTATATATAAAATACACAATTTTATATATAAAATAAAACATGAAAGAGTTTAAAGCAACATTAATGGCTTGCTAACAACAGATGTAAAGCCTGGGAAAAATAAGCTTTGTATTTACTTACACAATAATGTTGTTGATTGGGATATGGATCAATTTGACAAAGAAGCCAATAAATCCCATTATTGCAAAGCCTATTGCTGTTGCCATTGCAATCTTCTGGAATTCTGCAAATACAAAAATAAAATTCAGTTTTGGAAGCCTCATGTATAGCATACAGGAGATGTTCGCTCTGGTTTGCTGTAGGAGAGAACTCTTCAGAAAACAGTTGTATGTTAGCAGGGAGCAGTTCAAGCACAAAAAGCACTAAGGTTGAGAAACTAAGATGTTATTTCAGAAGACAGATAATATTTTAAGAAACAAAACACTGTTTTCCACAAATCATAAAGCAGATTTTTTGTTTAAGTAGTAAACAGAATTTGATATATCCCATAACAATTAATGGCATATTTATGGTGATAGATCACCATCCCTTCATGCCCATACAAGTCCTGAAAATAATCCCCAATACATAACTGATCACGGAAAAGCTAGTTAGATATGTCACAACACAATACCTACTTAAGTAACCTGCAACATTATAGCTCAGCTATAGCAGCACTTACATGCTGCTTCCAATTATTTTAAGACATGAACACGAGGTAAATTAAGGAGGTCTGCAGCTCGTAAATACCCTGCCAATTAGAAAATGAATGAGTTTCCCTACTGATCTCATCCCAACTACTATCTCTAAAGAACCACCACTGACATCTTGCTGATAGTTATATCTTCTCTACAATGCCTTACAGACAGGCCAAAAATCTTCTACATTTCCAGAAACAAATTTCTTCCTATCTCAGTCAGGTAATCACTGAAGATGACGAAGCACTGAATCAGCTGTGCGAAAGGCAACCCTATACAGGGTATACTAACATGAAGTATTTCTTCCAAGGTCACGTAACAAGCAGAATTTCCTTCAGAACTTTCCTCAAACTGACTGCAGTCTATCAGATCTGACTACTGTAGCTTTCTTTTCAAAGTCTGCACAAGTTTTTCCTCACATCAGTTTATCCAATCAGTGAAAACATTATCTGCCCATCTCAGAATGGCTAATTCCAGCTACTCAGCCTATTACATAAGATGTATGTGACAGCAGTATTAAAACAAGACAACATATCAAAAAAGGTCACGTACAGATTTATTCTAACCAGAATGAAAATTTATTCACGCTGCTCAAGTTTGCATCACACAATGAAATCCAAGAAACATTCCTAACAAACGAATCAAAATCAGTAACATGCAGAAAGATGCAAAGCACGATAGATGATGAAATAACGTTGTATTCTGGGAACTATACCTTTCCTGTCAGGCTTAGTGCACCTTTTAACCAGTCGTATGGAGTCTTTTACAAACTGACGGCTGGGTTCCACGAATTGCATTACCTGGTCCATGGCTGCCTGTAAAGATGGACAGATTTAGTATACGTGGTGCCACACATAACAAAAATTGTTTCATTTTAGAAGTATAAACAGTAGTTAACTATAAAATTTGAGTAGGCTTGTGATGACCGAAAAGGCAATCTAACTAGACCTTAATTTCTGTAAAGAAGAATCACCTTCTAACGGCATATCATACGTAAACATGGCCTACAAATACATATATATTATATAAAGCTGTGCCTCTGGGTGTACAAAAAGACCAAGAGTTCCAGCTTACATCCAGCACTTTCTAAGAATGTAACTGAAGGCAACTAAACAGAGAGAGGCTGCCCACTTCACAAAAATCACAGAATTGTAGAGATTAGAAAGGACCCCATCTAGTCCAACCACCCTGCTAAAGCAGGTTCTCTACAGCAGGTTGCACAGAAAAGCATGCAGGTGAGTTCTGAAAACCTCCAGACAAGGAGAGCCCACAGCTCCCTGGACAGCCTGTTCCAGCCCTCTGCCACTATCACATTAAAGTTTTTCCTTATATTTGTACTGAATTTCCCGTGTTCCAATCTGTATCCGTCGTCCCTTTCCTTGTCACCAGGTACCACCAAAAAGAGTCTGACCCCAACCTTTTAGCACTCATCCTTTAGACATTTATCCGCGTCGACAAGATCTCCCCTGTCTTTCCCAGACTGAACAGACCCAGGCCTCAGCCCTTCCTCAAACAGGAGACGCTGCAGCCCCGACCATCTTTAATGCCCTCCACTGGACCCTATCCGGTAGTTCCCCGTCTCTTTTGAACTGGAGAGCGCAGAATTTAAATCCTTAAGCCCAAAGCTGCTGGAGGGCTGCTGAGAACTGAGAGAAATAACACTCCTGATCTCACCCTCGGAGAAAGCGTCTACTCACAGCCTCAGCTCCAGTCCCGCTGGCGTTGTGCTCGATGCCAGCACTCTCTCTGACAGGAGCTCAGACCTAACCCGGAGCTCACGGACCAGGCTGCGGCCACGCTCCGTAATGGAGCGCTCAAAGCTTCGGGAGCCCCCAGCGCGGGGCAGCAGCGCGCGGCGGCCTCCGAGACAAAACCTCAGCCCCCACCCCGCTCAGGTCCCCACAGAAGAGCACAGAAAAACAGCACCCGAGCACTCTTCCTGCCGCTGACCCCGAACACAAAACACCACCTCACCGGCCGTTACCAGTCACTCGGACAGAAACGCCACGTCGTACTACAGCGCAGCGTGCTGACGTCATCACGCGACGTGCGCCCGGCCACGCCCCTTCCTGCGTCCGGCGGGGAGAGGGGGCGGGGAGGCGGGGCGGGGCGGGGAGGTGGCTTGTGGGGGATGCGCGGCGCGCGTGGGTGGGGCGGTTTGTGTTGCCTGTCTTTGGCTTTTCTCTGTGCTCTGAAAGCGAAAGCGTTCTGATACGAAATAAAGGAAAGACCGTAGCAGTATGCCTGTAGCAAACGCTGTTCAGGGAAAGGGGAAAAGCGAATGGGTGACGGTGGCCAGCAGTGTGCCCTTGCAGCTCGGAAAGCCGTTAAAAGAAGTGCAGTCAGCAGGTGATCCTGCCCCTCTGCTAAGACCTCCTCTGCAATGCTGTGTGCAGATTTGGAGTCCACAAGACAGGGGACACATGGACCTGTCAGAGCGTGTCCAGAGGAGGGCCACAAAAATGATGTGGGAAATGGAACAGCTCTCATACAGGGATGGGCTGTGAGAGGGTTATGGAGAGAGAAAGCTCCAGGGACACCTGATAACGGCCCTTCGGTATTGAAAAGAGGTTTATAAAAACGGGGACACTTTTGCAGGGCCTGTGGTGACAGGACAAGGGGAAATGGCTCCAAACTAAAAGCAGGGAGATGTAGACTAGATATGAGGAAGAAGTGTTTTACAGCAAAGGTGGTGTGGCACTGGAACTGGCTGCCCAGAGGTGTGGTGGAAGCCCTGTCCCTGGAAGCATTGAAGGCCAGTCTGCACCAGGCTCTGAGCAGGCTGATCTAGTTGTAGATGTCACTGTTCACTGTAGGGGAGCTGGGCTAAGTGAACTTTAAAGGTCTCTTCCAACCCAAACGATTCTATGGGAAAGAAAGAAAAAAAAAATAAAAAAAAGATTCAGTCTGGGAGTGCTGTGATTCATTTATTGATTTGCGGAAGCCCTCAAGCCATGGCAAGCTGCAGAGCGCAGCACATTTGAAAACATTGACTTCTATGGCTTTTTGTACAGAGGGATGTGCAGCATGATGCTTAATGAAAAAACTCTTTACTTCTAAGCCGCACAGGTATAATGTACAGCACATTTCTTGCTTGTAGAGCAAGAAGCTGTCACTGCCTGAACTCCTTCCTTGCTGCTGTGGAAAAGCAAATCAGATCATGTAGCATGCAAGGGAAGAGCACAGATAACACTTAGTGATTTTTTGTTCTATTTGATTTTGGCATTTCAGCCTAGAACTCTGTTCCTAGCTGGCCAGCACTGTCATTCAAGTGTCATTTGAGTACCTATGCTTACTAACTGTGCATCAGTCATGCTATGCAGTTTCTGCATCTAGATAAAGAAGACCACTGTCAGATCAGACAAATGCTTCCTGTTCTCAACGCTCTGGACTTTAATGTGTACAAAACATTTTCAAGGCTTTATTTTTTTGTTGGCAGACTTCATGACAGATAAGGTACCAGCTCAGCTCAGAATGGGGCAACTGGGTATTTCATCAATTTTTTGACAACCACGTTCCTTATCTTTGCCCATAGGGCAGGTCTCTCAGTATTGCTGGCCTCTTTCAGATGTAAGGTTTCTCTCTAAAGGGTTTCTGCCTTGAGTTCCAATGTGAGTTTCCTCCACAGGCCCAGGCCTCGAATTGGATTTTATGTTGAATCAGTCCTCATGTAGCACTGTGCTTCAGATGGGGCCATAATTCTGGTAGCCAAATTCTGCTGGACCTTCTCCTTTGGCATACCAGCAGGATAAGACAACAGAGTTAGGCCTCCTAGAACAAATGTGCACATCATTGTCTCTTGATTTGAGGCTGTTTTTCCATCAGCAGTATGTGTGGTGTCACCAGTGAGGAGAGGGTAGTCCCTAAGGAAATCAGATGAAGGTCTGGAAGCCCCATTAAGTGTGTGAGCAGAGCAGGCTACACTATATGCAGTCTTCTTGGGAGTTAGGATTTTGTTTTCCTTCAGCATCACAGATAATACCTTTAACAACAGAGGAAACTCACGCTTCTGACTGTGCTGCGTGCTGAGCCTTGCTGTGGGCCATCACTGTAGTGGAATGATTTACATAGCATTGAGTTCCTGTATCCAAATGGCAGTGGTTAAAAAAAAATTTGAACCAAGAAGACACATGTATGAAACAGTTCATCACATATATTTCTGATTGGACTGGATTTTGATTAAAAAACATTAATTGAAACAAACCTTTCCGCTGCCCAGATTCCTTGTTTTAAATTGTTTTCCTGGGGAGAAATGTTCTGTAGAATCGTCATACTGCACATACTGCCTAGCTCAACAATTTTGTCATGTTGTCATGAGCATTGTTGTGTGGATTTTGTGACCATGGGCTGTAATGAGGCAGAAGATACGGTTGTCCTTTCCCAGCTGTCCTTTCCTTCCCACTACAAGCTTTCCAAACTGCTAGTATGGATTTCAGCAATCTGAGAGGCAATTATAAAATACGGTCTTTAAAAATTGCAGAGGTATATGGACTTTTTATTTCTTTATTTTATGTTATCATAACTATGTTGGATTAATTTATATCTATGTGTTCCTGACATTAAAAAATTATCTTTGACTTTTTATTCTCCTAAATGATCCGGAGTCTCTCTTTGGACTAGATAAGCATATTTTCGTGATTTACATTTGGAAGAAAGATGGCTTCCTTACTCCGTAGCTGTGCAGATGCAGAAGAAACACATAAATGGGAAATTAGTGTTAGGAAAAAATGACAGCTAAGATTTGGAGATCAGAAGAAAATGACAAATTGTCTTTAGGGTAGCATCGTTAAGTACTGAAATGCTACTAGATCAGCTTTTAATGCCATGGTTGCAGGAGGAGATGTTTCTAGTCTGAAGCAGTCAAACAAACAAACAAACAAACAAACAAAACCCCTCCTTTTATTTGCACTGCTTAATATTCAGTGGAGATAAAGAGAGAGATGAGAGAGGAGTTCTAAAATACATTTTTATCACTGCTAGATTTGTGCTCTATAATTTTAAATATGATTTTTTAAACAGACTCTGTATTCAATTTTGTCCAAAAAAAACTGAGGAGTGAGAGTAGATGGAAAGTTTGTGTTTGTATGCCTTTAATGATACATGTAATGAGAGGGATAGAAGGTCATTATACTCAGATGGCATCACTAAATGATACTTTACTCTAAAAATAGAGATAGATCAGATAGATCTTCCAAATAACAAAAGCAATATGAGGAACTTAACAGAGGAACAGGTGTGCCACCATCAGCTGTGTGCAGCTGAGAGGTAAAGAGAGAAAAATCAAGTGCTTAACAGTTTCTCTGTTACAATGCTTGCAATATTTTGTTATGGTTTAGTGCAGCTGCAGCTAATGGCAGTGATTTCTCTTATTTTTAGCCACTTCTCAATCCTCCTTTTGAGGTTTGCTACTTTTTAAGTTTGTTGTTTTTTTTTTTTTTCTAAAAATCAGTATCATTCTCCATAATTTCTGGATTCATCAAAGAAAAATGTAATAAGAAGAAAAGTAAATTTAAGAATACTTGCTCTGAATGTTGCTCTTGTAAATGGTAGCTGAAAATATAGGCCTGGTCCCCACCATTGCTGTTTCAACCTGAATATTTTTTTCTGTATTACAAAAGGTTAACTAATCTTTCATAATAACAACACTACTGTGGCAGTAAATACTAAATATCATCCCAGATTTTTTTTTTTAAAGAAAGAAAAAAATTAGAAATATTCTTAGTCTGATAATGATTTTATTTTTTTTTTTTTTCCTGTGGAAAAAATTGGATTGAAAACAAAGGGATGTCTTTTTTTCATAGCAGAAGTTTCTTTTATATCAGCAGAAATATTTTTTTGGGTGCTTGCTGCACATTCAAACATTTAAAGTCAGCTTTCAAAAATATATAGTGGTTGTGTGTATTATACATACGACTCAATCACGTAGGAAATACGGCAGAAGCAACAAAAAGTGCAAGCAAAGCATCTTTCAAGTGCATTGAACATAGTTGCAGTCCACTTCCATCCAGGATGACAGAGCAAAATACTTGCTCAGTAACCGTAAGCGAGCAGTTCAGATGCGTGGCTGTAGTGTCAAAACACTAATTAAAAGTCTCACTTTTAGCATGAGAGCTTGCTTTACCTTGTTTTGGCAAGCCTGTGCTTATCAGTTTGTAGAGCATAACCTATGCTCCCCTTTTTTGTGATATTTTACTGCACTCTACCAGTTTTGTGGACCAGGACTTGCAGGTCTGATGCATGTACTCAGATGTGGACGACCCAAATCACTTATTACAAGTTCTTACATCACTTATAAACCTTCACAAGTTTTCCTTTTCTAGCTTTTTCATCTGCCCCTACAACTTTCCCATCCATGTCAGCAGAGCATTCTACAAACACTCTTCAACCGTTCATGCAGGAACTTATCCAATTCAAGCCGTCAGACATTCTTTCTTCTTCTAGAGGTGTCCTTGGTTCTCATGCTGTTTATCTTGCTCCACAGCTGCTGCTCTGAACAGTTTTTATTGTATTCCCACAAGGACTAACTGCTTGGAGCAGGGAGTAGTCAGCAGCTGAAATGGGTGTCAATAGACCCAAATGTACTCTAAATATGTAATGACTTGAGCATTAGAGATTGCAGAGGAGCTTGGGTATGTGAGAACTAAAAATTGGTTTTGGAAGGTTTTATGGCAATAGCTCTTGAACCTCAGAAGACTAGAACTTCTTTTGTTACTATACATTTTTTCCTTGCTCTATTGAAGATATTTATAAACACCTCCCTTTCCTCCTTTGTGCCTCCACAGATCTTTGCTCTGCATGTCACCCAAGAAGAACCTTGAGTAGTTCTGGAATTTTTGGCTATTTCAGTTTCTAGGTGATGAATCTGAGAAACTCTG